GCTTTCATTATTCAGTCACAGCCTGTTTTACTTGGAGCTAATGTAAAACACAGATTACTTTGCGCTTTCCCATTCTCGGACCAGGTGTTAATATGACTTGAAGAACTACATCAATTTGCTTTATTTATCAAAGTGATATAAACTTTTCAGAGGATGCATCTACACGTTTTCCAAACATCATATTGTGTGAACTGACCTTTCTCTACGTTGTTTTTGTTTTCTTCTGTAGTTGATTGCTTAGATCCAACGTGCTCCAACCACGGAGTCTGCGTGAATGGAGAATGTCTCTGCAGCCCAGGTTGGGGTGGAATAAACTGTGAGCTCCCCAGAGCCCAGTGTCCAGACCAGTGTAGTGGGCACGGTACCTACCTGTCTGACACAGGTCTTTGTAGCTGTGATCCCAACTGGATGGGTCCTGATTGCTCCGTTGGTAAGAAAAATATTTTTTTCCTGATTTTGCAATAATGTTTCTATTTTGTTAAAACGTTAATATCTATGGCAAATTTGAAATGCAAATAATTTAGAAAATTGTCTTGGGAACATGTTTGATCCTGTTTAGTTATGTTGGGAAGAAGTGCATATATATCTTAGATGCTATTTTTTGTGACATTCTTCATTTGGGCCTGTCAGCTGCAGGGTGAGGGGGATGCAGGCTAGGAGGTTGTATTTCGTTCTAATACTGACCGTCATTTGGACTGAAAAAGTTACTTAAGTGCTTCACATCTGTTTCCTAACTGTAAATGAAAACTTCCATAATTTATAAATAAGTTTATAACATTTGAGGAATGGAAAACGCTACAATTAAGTATGTTTGGGATATTTGCTTTACTGCACATCAAAATGCTACTCATTTATGAAAAACATCACAAACCAGAAAAATCTCTTTTCAAGTAAAGGGTATATTTCCCTTTTCAGTTGTACATGGAGTATTTAAAAAAATAATTTTAGAGCAAGAGACATAAAAAGCAGGCACAAAAGTATAGGCCAAAAAATTTCATTCTCTCCAAAGCTACACCTCCAAAACTTGATTATTCTAACAGAAGGAGCTAAAGAGAAAAAAAACAGTTTCGACAAGAGAGCAAATGTTCTGTTTATGGGGAAAAAATACTGGGAATTTTGCATTTATATTGTAAACTGAACCTTGAGACAGAGCTGTAGGCCATAAGCACTTCTCTCAAAATAATATTTACAGTTCACAGTTGTTCAGTTATTTCTTAAGTTTAATGACTTACAACACCCCACCAGTGAAATTAATATCAAGATGTGTTTTTTCCTGCTTCATACATCAGCAACCAGAAAAATTAATGAGTGAGAGTTTCACTGTCAATTTCTTCGATGATCCATGAGGCAACTTCAACTGGCAGAGAGCAGTAGAGGAGTTTTTGGAGTGAGACACCGGATAGTTGACTGTGTTAGTAATAGGATTCCAAAATCTCTCCCTTGAAAGTGTCTTTTACCTGTCAGTCCTAGAATCCAAGTGATCCTGAATTGTCACCATTCTCTGCTGAATGAGTTTTAGTTGGGTTTCAGTCTCATTCTTACTAAATCGATGTCTGTATCAAAATCACCAGAGGTCTAGGTTTGAATAAAACAGAGCTATGTGCTCCCCTTCTTCACTGCTGACAGGTGTTGAGGAAGCTACCTCTGAAACTTGTTTGTATCTGAATACAGGACACAGCTCTACAGTGGTCTGTCCAGCATACATTAGCAACTTTTTAATATAATCTAGTTTGTTCTTAAGCAAAAGTTAAATGCCAGTTCTGATCAGAATGTGAACAGGCCAGCTTTTGACAGCATATAGTTTTCAGCAAAAGCATACCTGTTCTACTCACTTGTCCGTTTGGGACTAGGTTGCTGCGTTTGCCCCATCACTGCTGACATAAGCTAGCTATAATCTTTATTCTTTTCTTCTCCTAGAAGTCTGCTCTGTAGACTGTGGCACTCATGGGGTGTGCATTGGTGGAGCATGTCGCTGTGAAGAAGGGTGGACAGGAGTGGCATGTGACCAGCGTGTGTGTCATCCCCGTTGTACGGAGCACGGAACTTGTAAAGATGGGAAATGTGAATGCAGAGAGGGCTGGAATGGGGAGCACTGCACCATTGGTAGGCAAACGACAGGCACCGAAACAGGCACATATTGCTTTCTTTTCATAAATCGTAGAAACATAGTTACTGTTGTGTATTGTAATAGGCTGTTCCTTTAAGGACCCTGGTGCTTTCAGACATTATCTCTGACTCAAAATGTGTTGGGTGAAATGCAGATGAGCTCTCGGAATCATTTAAAATCCGTAACAAACTGATTTGTAGAGAAAAAGAGCCAACAACAAATTCCACAGCAAATGAACATTAGTAAGTAAAGATGTAACAAATGGACCATCACGGTATCATCTGAGCCAAGATTTTCAAACTTAACTAAACATTCCTTTGTGTGAATGGCATCTTTTTTAATTTCCTGGTCTGATGCATCAGTACTCTCCTGCTATTATGCATCACATCTGAAACACATCACCAGCATCACCACACAGAGCAGGGGTCAAGTTGTGCAGGAATAAGTGTTCCTGGTGTTACAGAAATAGCTCCCTAGCATTCTCTTCTGTTGTGCTGTGACAGTGGGCATGGTGTTTGCATATAGACAATCCCAGCATGGGAGGGCCCTGCTGGTAGTGCAGCATGCTGCTGTACCCTTTCCTAATAGCGTGCTGCTCAGTACAGCATTGGCATCACGCAGAGTGCCGTGACTAACACGATTGCATCTCAGCTGTGATGTGTCAGCCTGGGAAGTTCAAAAAGGTTATACTTACACAAAGCAATGATGTTCTTTCCTCTCGGTTACCATGCTTGAAAATTTATTCTGAAGAGGAATTAATTGTTCCTAAATGAAGTTCTTCATTTTGTGTCTATAAGCAGTCAGGTAGTATATTTGGATTATTTTGTGAAGTTACTGAAAACAAAGGAGAAAATTTTATTTTGCCTACGCTGTAATCAAAAATGGGAAATTCCGAGTGATCACATCTATTCTGAGAAGTCCGGGCAAAATTATGTGGAACAAGAGTATCCAGCTGCTGAGACAATGAGAGATTCAGGAAAGTGTACTTTTCTCCAAAGAATTTTTTGGAGGGCTGTGAGGTATACCTTAAAAGAAACCTAGTGACTCCAAATCCTAGGTCATATTGTTTTAGTTATCTTAAAATGATAAATTTAATAAAGAAAAGGGGTAGGCCAATTGAGATTTTCATGGCAGTCAGGGACCCTAATGGGACAGTCCTATTACAAGTGAATTGTAATTTCTTTACTTAAAAGTATGGTGAGATTCTTGCATCCCTCAAGCTTTTTTTTTCATTCCCTTCTGACTTCTCCCTGGATATACAAACCATTTCTGATACACACACGAGTTGAAAACTAAAAGTATACTCTTATTGGAGAGGAGGAAAAAAAAAACAAACATATTTTTGGGCCATATCCTTTGAAGTTGTGGTGCTGCATGCTTCCACCACACTATGCTAATATGATTTAATAAAAGCTTTTATGACTGAACACTTTGTGACCCAGCAGAGATGCAGAGTATTTTTTCACAATTGCTTTCTGACTTCCATCTTATCAACACATCTCTGCTAGATTAATCCAGGCATTTTGTTTTCATATTCAGTACTTCCCAGATCTTTATGAAATGCCTAATATATAAATTTTTTTGCATTACATTCTGTAATAATTGTTTATTTTAAAAGTTACTGCTTTGCACAAAATTTGTTTTGCTTTATAATCTTTTAGTAATACGCTTATGTTTAGAGGTAGTATATTTAAAGTCTTCGTTACTGTGCACACAAAAAGGTGCCTTGTACTGATATAAGAATTCTGAAAATTACAAGCTGAACTAGTGAACTCTGAAGGGAGATTTTTTTTTAGTCTAATTTTCAGATCTGTGAAATAAATATTTTCCCTATTATCGATGTATATGATCAGTTCTTCTTTTCAGAGGAAGGGTGATACTGCTAAAGTGGTTAAAATATGCATAAGCTTTTTTTGTTTGGTATGTATTAGAAAGATTGCCTTGAAACTTCATGTAGGTCTACCTGTGGCAAAGATAAGACTAGGGCAAAAAATTTGGGTTTGCCCTTCTAGTTGTCATATATTAAATTTGTACAGTCATAAGTTGCCTGTTGTACATAGACAGATAAATATTCTTGTGATAGGCTTGTATTGGTAAGAATTTTCATATGCCCATATCATGAGGCCTGATTGTAAGGCCATTTGCAAAAGCACAAAGCATGCTGCCAGAAATGGAATTCAATTCAGAGGGACAGCTCAGCTTGATCCCACTGGTTTCTGTTACGTTACATGGGACTGAAACAGAGAGAGAGTTTGGAAGATAAGGATTGTAAAACTAATTTTTGTCAGTATTTGTACAAAAAAATGCTAGAAGTTATTGCTAGAAAACTTGTCCTTATAGTGACTTGATACTTTGGAACAAGGATGAGTCGCTCAAGATGTTTTAAACGTTAGTGTGAAGAGCTAAAGTGTACTTAAATTTTATGGAAACTCATTTTGATTTAGAGTACTCCCTTTATGGTTTTGCATTCAACTGAAAGGTTGACAGACCTTTTAATGTCAGAATTACTCAGTGAGGAGTGTACACTTAAAAAGATAATATTCAGGAATGCAAATCTGATGTATTCAAACCTTGATTTTTAAATTTTTTTTTAATCCAAAGCCATTGTTTTATTCCTGTTTGGAAGATACTTGGCAAACTGCAAAGTCTGTTTGTCCTAAGGTAAAGCCAGACCAGACCAGAGTAAAACAGTGTATGAGCAGAGGGTGAATCTCTCCCTTCCCTGTACATAGTTTGAATTTTTGGATACCCGTATTACATCTTCAGAAGCAGTGAATGGTCAGGCTTACCTCAGAACACATTTGAGACTTTCTCCGTATGAACTTCAAGCAGAAAAATGTGAGTCCCATAAGAGTCTTTATTTACTCTGAATTTCCATTTATGGCTACACCTGGTCTGAAATCTCTTGAAGTCAGTAGAAAAACTTGCTTTGATTCCAGTAACTCTAGGCCAAGCCCACTTAAAACAAATCGATCTCATTTGTGAGGAAAAAAACCTAAGTTTCTATATACAAACCAAAATACATTTTCTTTTGTTTGTGTTTCTTTACCAGTTTCATGCGCTATATTCACATGGCAGTGGAAAAGAAGTCATTATAGCAACCTGCAGGTATCCAGGTTCATTCAGGGTATTTTATTCTATTTAATATTAAATTAGACCTTTTTAGATAGTTGACAGAATGCACACTCTTTGGCATTTTGGTGTTGAGTACCTAAACTCAAAAAATTTCATAAAAATGCAGTTTCTTTCTGCATTACCTACATTTTAGGAAAAGCACTCTGAAAAGTCTTGCGAATGCCACTGTTAGCTCAGCGTTAACAAACTGTTTGTGCAAAGCAGCTTTTACCTATGTGCAGGAATAGAATTACATGTAAAAATCAGTGAATGCAAATTCCAAGTTACACAGATTTTATAAATCTATATCCAAATAATATAAAAATGAAAGGAGTGCTGTCTGCGCTTCCTCAAATGCTGTATGTAGCAGAGTAGAACACCACCAGTCACTACATTTCACTTTGCTACTTCAGGTAAGAGGAAAAATTTCTTACTGGGGTGATGATAAAGAAAATTAATCTTTTCCCAGTGCAAAAATAGACCTGTCAGGATATGTTTATTAAGTGATTGCTATTCATTGATTGCAATTATGGAGGAAGTTACAACTAAATAATAGAGGGTAATCTAGATGAGGAAAAAAATACTGGAAAACTAACAACAAAGCAAAAGACTAAGATATAGCAGTTGCTGAATCTTGAACTGATTTCGTGCCAGAATTTTAAGATGGAGGATTTAGCTTTTTCTTGAACCATCCGAGTGTTTTTAAAGTGTGCTGTTACAAAACAGATCTGTTACTTTCACTGAAAATAATATTTGGATGTTTGAAACTGTTGTTTTTAAACTGTTGTGGAGGATGTTCTCCATATAAACTGTCAGCATAGTATACTAAGGACAGCGTGATATAACAGATATCTTAAGAAACCGTCAAAAATACCATTTCAAAAGTGTAATTCCATCCATAATTCATATCCCTGCAGCATGAAATACGACTGTTATTAAGTCATTGGTAAAAATCTCCCTGTGAGACCAGTGAAACTAGAATTTAAGGCTGAAAATTTAAGAGTAAAATGTAAAAGTCTGCAAACATAAGGTGAGCTCTCACCAGAAGACAACATATGAAGTTATCTTTGTGGCTGCCTGTCATATTCCCAAAGCCTTGCTCTTAGCTGCTTATGTCCTACATTAGATGTAGGTTAAGCACTCCTGCTTTCAGACAGGAAGTGGCAAAAGACGGTAGTCAAGGCTATTTGATAATATGGATACTCTGCTGCAGATTACAATCAAGACAATTCTCATCTTTTCTGTTCCTTTTTTTTAAAATTTTTCAATGCAAATGAGCTGTACCTGCTTGACAGCCGTAGAAGTTGAACCTCCAACTATCTACCTGCTAGGCAAAACACAAACAGGGGTGATGTGTGCATCTCTGCAGAATTTGCTTAGAATCATTTAGGTTGGAAAAGACCCTTAAGATCATAGAGCCCAATCGTAAACCTAACGTTGCCTCCTGGCCTTGGTACCGCTTTTCAGAATCTAACCCCAGAGGTGGGGATCTGCCACTCTCTTTCCCATACTGAGTCCTTGGCCTCTGTACTGAAAATGTCAAATGGTAGGGCATGTTCCTTAATAAATAAGGGACTTGGAAATCTGTATTAGCCCTGTACCTTATCCTCTATGTTTTCAGGACCTTGAATAAAAAAGAAGGATTTGAAAGAACCAGAGTCCTGTCACCTGCATGGTGGGAAATAACCTAAAATTATCAGATACATAAAAATGTGTAGGAAAGAGAGAGGACTTTCTGTGTTCAGGATGATTAAGATAAGAAGTTTAAGTGACAGCAAGGGAGATTTGGGTTAGGTGTTGGTAAAAATCTTGTAACAGTAGATGAAAAACTGAAGTAGGTTGTCTAAGCAAGTTGTGGAATCCTCATCAATGAAGCTTTTAACAGTAATTTAGACAAACATCTGTCAGGGATAGCAGAGAGGTAATTCATCCTGCCATGGGGCAGCAAGCTGAATAGAAAGTAATTGAACTCTATGAGCTCTC